AATCACTGGAAACTCAGAGAACTTCTACTTTACCCTGAGGTTTTTCTTCTTTTTACTGTTTGTTTATTTATTTATTTGTGACTGTACAAAAATCTTTCCCACAGTACAATTGTGCCTCCTACTCAGGACCCTCTCTGAGCTCGGGCACTATGTCTGCAAGAGCTGTATAGAATAATTTATTGTGCAACTGTTTTTTCTTCAGTCTGGTTAGTAAGCAGCTCAGTCTTAATGAGCTGTGCAGCAAATAGATGCTTTAACAAATAATTCCAAAACTACCTAATAATAGTGTTGGATGTGATAATAGAAGCCCTGGGTATGGTAGAGATAAAGTTCACTGAACACAAAGGCAAGAGACTGTGAAGCTAGAGGGGTCAAAGAATTAACTACATGGGAATTAAGTAGCTCAGGATGAGATAAGATGATTTTGTGTTCAATAAAATGTAGACAAACCATGAAATTTATTTTGGTAATATGGAAGTGAGCCAAATGCTTCCTTTGTGATGGGTTATTGTTAATACTTGGGTTTGAGTCTCAGGTATTATTACAGAATCCCTGTTTTATTAAAATAAAACACATGATGATTTAGGAGAAGACAAGTGAAAATTATTAGAAGGGAGACAGTTTATGATGGGATGAGCGAGGCACCAGAGGCTGAGTCATCATGTGAAAGGCATAGATACCACCGTGTTCTCATCCCTGCTGAGGCTGGGCCCAGGTTGGACTTTGAGCTTTTTGGTGAACAATACAAAGAGAGAAATGAAATTAGTTGTATAATTTATAGTATTGTTAAGATTTTTCAGGTCAGCTGATTATTATAACATTAGAAATAAACTTTATTAGAAGCAGTGTGTCCTTGATCTGAGGATTATTGTAAACCTATCTGATAAAAAGCGTCCCAGTAACAAGGAATTTCATAAGACTGTTTCTTTTATTTATTTTTTTTTTGGTACCGGGGATTGAACTCAGGTCCTTGTGCTTGTGTAGCAGGCGGCGAAACCACTGAGCTAAATCCCCAGCCCTAAGACTGTTTCTTTTAGTTAAAAGTCTCCTTTGGAGGGCACCAAATGATGGCATGTGACTTAGCTTATCAGGATGGGAAAAAGTGTGTGGGTGGCACATCCCCAGGCAGGGTTTGTAAATAACAGTTCTCAGTGGAGCTCTTGCTCAGTTTGGAGTGCCTGTGTGTTGAAGGTCTAACTTCCGTGTGTGTTGGGGACCATGTAATGTGAAGAACCTAAGTGACTAAGAGGAGAGACAGCCTGTTTCATGGGAAGGTGAAGCAAGTTGCTCGGGATGAATTAAGAAATAGCATTCTCAGGGGTTTTAAGAGAGTCATTTAAAGATAGAGTAAGAGATGATAAATCTAATTTTAAAGCAACAATGAAATAAAAAGTTAGATGTAGCTCATAAATTACAATTAATACGTATTTATTTTAATATCTCGGGGAGGTTAGTAAATGACCCATTTGCCCCTACATTTAACATAACAGGCACTACGTTCCTTATCCTAAGGCATGAAGGCTTTGGCTGTAGGTGAATATATGCAAGGGCCTATGCAGGAGATGCCCCCATCCCCCCAAATATTGAAGACCAATGCTTCCAAGTTGAAACATATAAATGTGACATCTTGTTACATCATTTAAAATACCGAGTTAACCAAAGACGACACAAGAACTTTTTACAGCTGCTCTGTTAAAATAGGCTCCATTATCAGATGGGTTAATTGTAGTGGGATACAGATAACAGGTGCATTGAAAGATTTATGAAAAGATTTATTTATCACATATACAAGTGTTACTTTAAGTTATTTCTTCTCATTTTAGGTTCCAGTTCCTTTGAATCTCAGAAGATGGAAAGGCCTTCCATTTCTGTTATTTCCCCAACAAGTCCCGGAGCTCTGAAAGATGCCCCACAAGTCTTACCAGGGCAACTTGCTGTACGTAGTTACTTGTACATGCCGGTCATTTTGCACGGTCTTTGGCATGTCTTTGAAAAATGTTTGGCTTTCTTGGAAGCCTCCCCATGGAAATATTTACTGAATGTCCACAGTGTGCCTTGAATTGATAAATGGTAACATAAATAAAAAAATCTATTGTTTTTGCTATTATTTTTGATATGCTGCATAAATGTTTCTAAGGTGAATAATTGTTTATACATACCTGTCTTAAAAAGCCATATTCAATGTAGTTAGCTGCCTAATGAGCCTGGAGCCTGAGATACTTGAAATAATCTTTTTGACTTCCTAAAATATTTGGGGAAGTGAGAATGCTGGAAGCACTCTTCAGAAGCGACTATTTCCCCTGAGATTTGAGGACAGGTGGGATAAAGAACCTGGTTAACTCTTAGGAAGCAGCACATCTGTGAAGATTAAGGCAGAAAATACGTCTTGCTATTAATGACTCAAAGAAACCCTTGCTTAAAATTACTCTACAAAGAATCAAGTTTCTCTGTTGCTGTTTGACTTTCAATATAGAAAAACATTGACGTGGCCCCTAGTGTTTACTTTATCTGCTCTGGCATCTCGTCTGATCAGTGTCATTCTCTCATACTCTTCATTGGTATTTTAGAGAAGATGCATACCCATTTTTGTTCAATGAAAAACACGTCTCTGGTGTTAAAGAGAACCAAAGAAGTGGATTCGTATACTCAGATGCTTAATTTTTGCCTTACTGTAAAAAATCTCATGTAAAGTAGTTTATTTTGTCATTATGACTCTTAAAAATGTTCTAACATATACCAATTAACCATGTATAGTTATATTTCTTATTCAACTATAAAATCAAAGGTAATTTCTAGATTAAAAGAGAAAAAATTCAAGTTAACTTTGTTAACTTGTCATTTTTAGTTTAATTGAACAACTACTGCTCTGACTGCTCATGTGATTCTGAGGACTTTGACAACAGGATGTCAGTGTGCTGTTTCCCCATTTTTCTTTAGTCTATAATGACATATTTGTTAGTGGGAATAGTATTTGGCCTACATGTAGTTTGAAGGTATCATATGTATTGAGCCCTCCTTTGTTTCTTCTTCTTATGAAAATTAGCCTGTAATAGGTTAATCATAAAACTTAAATGAGAAAAATTCCAGGCACTTACCAGGCTGGTATACAGTAAACCTGCAGTAAATGTTTCCTGATCTCTTCCCACTTATTATGTTATTATAGAAATTTACTTCAACTACATTGGCACTAGAAAATGTATTTAGCCACCCTATAATCAAGACACTTGCAATCACCAAACTTTTGTGTTTACCATTTAAAAAGGACAATGATTTCAATGTTCCCTTCTTCCTGGAGTGTTTTATTTATTAGTTTCATTTTTATAGCATAAGGCCAATTGTTTGTCAAAATTAAAATGATTAAAGAGAAAGGTTAATTTTAAGTGATTATTCTTTCAAGTTTGTATTCTTTTTAGAAGTAATATCTGCAATTCCATAGTATATTAATTTGAAATATAATTTTCATACTATTTTATGTAATGATTATAATACCAGGACTTTGTAAATAATGATTCCTTTCTGCATCACTCTTAGGTGAAGCTGTGGTATGATAAAGTGGGACACCAGCTGATTGTAAATGTCCTGCAAGCAACAGATCTACCCTGTAGAGTAGATGGACGCCCCAGGAATCCCTATGTAAAAATGTATTTTCTCCCAGACAGAAGGTAGTCAGTTTTAAAAAAAATTTGCTAAAATCTGTACTAATGGACAAAGTAGAATTTCCTCTCTCGAGGTATACTTTCTAAATGTAATAATTCTCTGAGGGAAAAAAAATCTGTCAAGCCTTTTGTTTATTTGAAAATAATCTTCCAATTTTAAGTATGTCCATTTTTTTTTATATGTACATTAGTTCTCATAGCAGCACAGCATTTAGAATGTAGCTTTGTCTGTCCATCCTTCATAATTACTGCTCACTTGGTAGTAGAAATTGGAATAGGATTAAACTCCTTCGTCTTTTTGGATTTTTAATTTATAAATTTATAAATTATAAAAATATATATATATATAAATTTATAAATTTAATTTATAAATTAAAAATGGTAAAAATTCCAGTGGTAGTATTACATGTGACTACAGTAGATGGCAGTATATTCTTGTTTTTGCTTATTCATTTATAAAACATTTTTATTTTTCAGTGATAAGAGTAAAAGGAGAACCAAGACAGTAAAGAAAGTACTAGAACCAAAATGGAATCAAACTTTTGTCTATTCGCATGTACATCGTAGAGATTTTAGAGAGCGAATGTTAGAAATAACTGTATGGGATCAACCAAGAGTGCAAGAAGAAGAGAGTGAATTTCTTGGAGAGGTGATATATCTTGTAACAATTCAAGCCAAACGTTTCATGAGGTTTTTTTTTTTCTTTTGAGATACATATTAATAGTGATTACTTTTGCACTGTGTTTTATTAAAGGTGCTTGATTTAATTTGAAAACCACTCTTTCAGATCCTCATAGAGTTGGAGACAGCACTTTTGGATGATGAGCCCCATTGGTATAAACTTCAGACACATGATGAATCTTCACTACCTCTGCCTCATCCATCACCTTTCATGCCACGGCGACACATTCATGGAGAAAGCTCTAGCAAAAAGCTCCAAAGTAGGTTGAAACCTTTTCAGTTACCAGAAAGTCATTATGCTGTAATGATCATTAGATCATTAGCATTAGGATCATTAGGCATTAGCATTCAAAATGTTTTTTCAGATATTTTATTAGAGAAAAAAATTATTGAAAAAGTGTTTATGTAAAGAAACACAGCAAAACTTTTCTGTATTTCACAATAAAATAATATATAGCATAGTAGACTAATTTCAGAGCTGAAAACTAAAAAGGTTCTGAATTACAGTTTTTATTCAAGGCTCATTGAGTTGTTAATTAGTTGATTGTTGGAATAAATTTTGTCATTACTACTGGGTTGTTGCATGTAAGTTCTAAATAATTTTAGAGTTCATGGTTATTTTTATATCATTTTTTATAAGAAATACATTTTTGAAAACAAAGTAAAATTGTTGTTAATCACCTAATGATCCAGAACAACTTTTTTCTGTAGACATTCATTGGTCTGTGAGTTTTGAGTAAATCTATGATGAACAACTGGAATGTAAAAGCCTAATTTTGGTGATCTGGAGCCAGGTTTTTTCCATATAATTGAAGATTTCATGTTAGTGTTTCCCTGGTTGATCATTTCCTCACGATGAATGTTGAATGCAATGTATGGGCTCATTTTGGAAGTAAACCACAAATATTTTGTAAAGGGCCCCATTGCCCTTTCAGTAGTTGGGGCTCAAGAGCTGTAGCCAGCAGAGGCCTCAGCCCACCCTTCCTGATCTGCAGAGGCAGGCACTCTGGTGTGTGGAAGACAGTGGGTTCACTGTGCTATAGACTTTTAGTGCAGAATTTTCATTTAAAAATAATTGGAAACGTCAAAACATTATTCTTAAAAGTCCCTTTGCTCTCATACATTCTCAGTGTAATGGTTGTAAGGAGGAAATTATAAGAAAATATTATCCTTAGAGAAGAAACACTTTTTTTTAAAGGCTGGCTTGGTGTTATTATTCTTATTCAAAAGTAGCAGTATAATTAGCTTCTTAAGAACAAATCAACCATGTCCTTTTCGTGTCATAAACCGATGAGACCAGCGGTATCTGATTGCTTTACTCTTGTGCAGGGTCTCAGCGGATCAGTGACAGTGACATCTCGGATTACGAGGTCGATGATGGCATTGGAGTAGTCCCCCCAGGTGTGTGGGCGAAGAGCAGGCCTGCTGCTTTGCTTGTCTTCTGTCCGCCTTCCGGCTGCTTCTCCAGGCTAAGCTGGAGATCTGTAGGGTGGAAAAACCATTATTATACTATCTTATGATGACTTGTACTTTAGCTTGTTAAGACACTTTAAAAGGGACTCATTTCTGTTAATTAGCATCCCAATTTATTTAATTTAGTCAGTTTCTTTCTTAGAAGCATGACTAGTTAGGCAGAACAAGTCATATATTTCACAGTGCTCTCAGCATAATTGAAAGGATATGGTTAATTTTATTACATAAATTCTATTTTCTTGTGTTTTATGTTGTACTTCTATGATTTTTCCTACTTTAATTTCTGAAAATAATGTAGTGTTCCACAAAGTATATTTAGAAAGGTGCCTGCAAGGGTTTAAAATTGCATGTGGCATGGCTATAACTTTCAATGCTTTTGTGATGTTTTCACCAGTGATCATTCTCAGACTGTGTGTTTTAAAGTAAAAAAATGTGCTTTAGAAAGTTTTAATATTCATTTGGAATCAAAATCTCATTTGTTATTGTATAAATTAGTAATATTTTGTGACTCTGTAGTTTCAAATTTATATTCCCTATCTGACTTTTGGTTGTTTTTGTTTTTTTTTTTTTGGTACTGGGGATCAAACTCGGGTCCTTGCGCTTGCGAGGCAGGCAGTGGAACCACTGAGCTAAATCCCCAGCCCTCCTCATCTGACTTTTGTCAGCAACGTGTGCAGAATCATGCAGTAATGGCTTACTTTCTTGACACTGACCCTACACCATTTCCTTGACATACTAATAAAAGTAAATATTTAAGTAAGGATAAACTAAAGAGACCTTCTGGAACATACGAATTATTACAGGCAGTTCAATCAAACAGTATTGACATATATCCCTTAATTCTGTCATTTCTCAAATGAGGATTGAGGGCCTTCAGTGGAGAGCATGAGGTTGGTAAAATTGACAGATTCCCCACTAGTGTCTGAGTTTACTACAACTTCATTAAACGTAGCATAAAACCAAAGAATTCTCAAAACTCAGGCTTCATTTTCTCTCTAATTTAGAGAAAATTTGGTTTGTGATCATGTCTGAAAGTAGCAAATATTTTTACACAGTAGACCTAGTGCCGTGCCTGTCTCCATCCCTGGATACTGCTCTGTTATCAGAGTACTAATTAATGTTTTGAGTAATAGTGGATAACATTTTCTATTTGCCTTCTTATTTCTTAAAGGACCGCCATAACCATGCATATTCTTGACAGAAACTGTCACACAAAATATATAATAATTGTTGCTTTATGAAATTGAAAGGGTAAAAATCATTGTACATTTAAATCTACTGTCATAGTCAAGTAGGAGTCGGATTATTTCTGGTAGAAAAGTCATCAAACAATCAGATGTTTATGAATTAATAGGGGCAATTATGCAATTAATTTATATTTTCAGATGCTCTTCGTTGATCCACTGTTTGTATATATGGTAGCTTCTAAAGATATAGGTGGCAGATACGATATAATAAGTTACACAGTAACATGTAATATATTTTAAAGAGGAAAGAAAGAGGCATTTGTAAAGTGGGAGGAGGTTAAAATGAAGTAAGTTCATAAACACGATGCATCTGCCTATACGTTTAGAGATTAGTTACAGATTTGCCCCCTATGTTTCTAGCATCCAGTACAGAGAGCAAATTGATCTAGATGGGGATGCTGATTCCACGTATGTGAAATCACTCAGTGAAGGTCCTGGTGTGTAGGACTTGAGGACGCTTTGAAGCTTAGTTCAGAATTTCATACTTCAGCTAGACCTTAAGCTTTGTAATAAACTGGCTTTCTCAGCACCTGCTCCATGTGTCTACTGCCATTTACCACATAATGGAACACAGTGGAGAACTCTGGAGAGACATGTTACTAATTTTTATAATTTTGGCTGTATTTGTATTTAAAATAAATAATTTTAGCTGCTAAAGAATAATAAAAACCATACACAAAATGCTCTAATTTAAGGTGAGGCATCTGACAACCTCAGCATTTTGAAGTATTACTACAAATTCAGAAAATAGGAAACACTTCTAGCTTGTAATTCTAACCTAGTTAAAACATGAAGATGAATGTTAAATACCAGTTCCCTCCCAGTCACATTTCTGAAGGTAGAATATATCTTGTCAGTAATAAATTAGACATAATAAGAAATCAAATTCATTAGTATAAAGTCAGATGTTAAATATTTGAAAATTATAGCATGTAAGTGACATTCATAAATAATTTTCAGTTACCAAAATTGTATATGTTGCCTTGAATATACTGTGTAAATTCAGAAATTCCTAGTGAATTCAAAGAAGAGGTTTTTAGTAGATAAAATGTTTTAGGATAATATTTGTTTCTCTGAAGTCCTTTCTTGATAATGGGATAGAAGAGGCATTAATTTCCATATAAAGACCAAAAAATCCAAGAAAAAATAATCATGTACTGTTAACACCAGGAGAATGCTAAAATTCTTTAAAACTTCATAATAATAAATTATACAAGCTATTTATATTTCTTCAAGTTCATTGAAATCATAAAATGTATAGTGCTCCAAATACAATATTAGCATTTCATAATTATTGTCTAATTGATATCAAATGGTAGCTTAAAATGTTTAATCCAAGCATTGGATTATCTCTAAAAATAGTCAATTTTTAAAATAATGAGTTATGAAGTATACTTAATTTGACTTTTTCTCACCTTAATATTACAATTTAGATATCTCAACAAAACCTTTTGCTCTGCAAAACTCAAACTAAAAGCTTAATATTTTTTGAAAAGAGACTAAATTTAATGTATATACAGTTATGAATTTTTTCATTTATAGTTAACAGTTTTTGACATTGTACTGATCTTTTTATAGTGATAAAATAGTTGAGCTACTTCAGTGTCAATACAGTCAGATTGCACTTTATGAAATGTTTAAAGACTTCATACTTTAAACTTAGAAGATAATACAATTATAACCAATAAACTGTTGGGGAATTAGCCTGCCTTTAGAAATGATATTTCATGACATATTTTAAAGATAATTTGGCAATTATGATATATAAAATGAAAAACACAGTTTGAGTTGCTTGATTAGATTAATATTTCATGGTTTGTTTATATTTTATATAGTTGTAAGTATAAAATTTCGTTTCCTTTCACACATTTTTCACACTTTTTCTTGTTCTAATCGAGAGCAATGACCCATGTGAAAAAAGGTCAAACTCAACTATGATTGTGGATTTGAGATTATTATTTTAACCAAATTAGAGATGATACAATTTTTTTCCTTTAAGGGAAAAATGGCCTTTAGAGTTTATTTATATATTGCAATTTATATTAAGTGTGTGAGTTTAATTGTGGTAATAACTAACTAAATTATAAAATAGTTTTAGATGTCCAGAGTAGATTTGATGTTTTTGTGCGGTTGATTTTCTCTGCATTATTGTCATAATTTTCTCCACTCATATAATGGTTACATTTGATAATTACAGTATTATCTGTGATTTCCAAAATTCACCACTAGTCTTTGTAACCGTCAATATCTGCATTTCTTTTTTGTTAATTAAAATTGATATGGTATTTTTATTTGCTTAAAATTGATGTGATATTTTTATTTTCTAATTAGGGAACCATTGTTAAACTAAAATAGTTTATCCTTTAGATGGAAAAATTCATATAAAGAACATATTTAATTCCAAAGAGGCATTGAGTTTCTAAGCATTGACTTGTGTATTAACTACTGATCTCCATGGAGTGCTTGATTTACATTGCCAAAGTCATTTAATTCTTTACATTAAAATGGTATTTCCGTTTGGCATGATGTGTGGGGCATCGCTTGTCCTGAGTATGCTCAGTCTCTCCATGGTAGCTTTGAGCTAAACTGTAACGTGTTCTTATGCATGTGCATGTTACATCCTGTGTATTTGTGTTTACTATTTGTAAAGATAAGTCCAGTAATGCTGACAGCATGGCATTTGATTTTACTAGGTGATGGCAGTATTTCCTGTACTGTCATTTCTCCACATTAATGTTTGGACTGTAGAAGAAGACTGACATTTTTGTGTGTATTCTCTTGCCAGTGGGTTATAGGTCTAACGCTAGAGAAAGTAAATCCACCACATTAACTGTGCCGGAACAGCAAAGAACAACACATCACCGCTCTCGCTCAGTCTCTCCTCATCGCGGTGACGATCAGGGCCGGCCGCGTTCACGTTTACCAAATGTGCCATTACAGAGGTAGGCTTCAAAATGGGCTCTGCTTCCTCTACACTGCTTTTTAGTGTAATGCAATGGAAAGTGCTACAGGCCTTCCTGAAATGAAATAATCTTTGCTCCATCAAGTGTTTTTTGCAGAATTATTTGTAGGCAAAATGATTTATTCTTTACCCTATAATCTTTATCTTTTAATCTTAATAAATTCCCCAGAGAGTGGAATAAATCTGTGTCCCCAGCATAGCTTTTGAGTAACTGCATTGTATGTGCAAGTTTTCTTTCTCAAATAGGATAAATTGAAGACTAATGAATCAAAATTATGGAATAAAGTGGCAAAGAGGGTGAGATAAAGGGGCAGGATATATTTTTAAGGGCTCTATTTTTGTCTTCTAGAAGCATTAAAAGTAAATAAAACATGTATGGTATTGCTCTTTTGCATCTCACCCTGAAATAAGCTTCTTCAGGTCCATGCAGATGAAAATCATGGTCCTTGCCTCAGGGATGCAAGAGAAGCTTGGAGAAAGGCAAAACAGGCAACACACAGGGAATAAACACTCTTTTCTCACTGATTAAAATAGTTTTGGTGTGATCACAGCACTTTTTAAGCCACATCATGTGTTTGCCAATTACTTTCAATTCCTTCTCCTTGGTCTGTCTACCTCTTTAGGGAGGATGAAACATTTTGACACAGGAATTTTTGCAATCATTTCAGGAGCTTAGATGAAATTCATCCAACAAGAAGGTCACGCTCTCCAACCAGACACCATGATGCCTCCCGAAGTCCACCTGAGCACAGACCCAGAGACGTGGATAGTCAGTATCTAGCAGAACAAGACAGGTACTTGTCCAAATTACGATACCGACCTAAGGACATTTTTCTTTATTCTTTTTTAATATATACAAATATTGTGGCATAGTACATAAATAAAACTAATTTATCACTCAAAATCAAACTTCTCTCAGAAACAATTATTAAATATTCCACAGAAATGCAACTCTAGGAAATATTTGGCCAACATTATTATATGCATATTTTTTTTGCTAAGTCACACTTTGTGTAGTCAGTTGTAAAGGTACAGCATGTTGTTGACTTAGATGCTGATTTAAATAATAAAAGTAAGCCTATATGTGCAATTTTCAAACATTCATCTTTTATAGCCCACATTGTTTGGTATGCTACTTTTGTAATTATAAAAATTATGTTATATGTAACTTAAAAAATTTGGCTATAGGTCATCTGAAAGGTAGTTAATATTGCAAATTGCCAGTGAGAACTCCAATAATGTTTTTGTTAATATCTTTTTTATATTTTTTTTAATAAATGTTTGTAAAGCACAGTATACTAACATGGATTTTGTTTATATGGATATGTACTTAAGCTTAGTTCTGCACTTATTTGTTAGTTAATATTTCATGGAAACAGTTACTATAAATCTCTATTATTAGTGTGATATACTACATGCCTACAGATTTTCTTTTTCAAGTATTCACGTACACTGTCTGTGTTACTCATCTAATCAGAGTCTGATTCAAAGTTTTATAATACCCACCTTCTTGAAGATTCTCTTCTGGCTTTTTGGAATGGAGACCTTTCAGCGAGCAGTCTGGCACCGATGATGGTGCTGAATGATTTTTGGCAGGGCGTCAAGGGCTAAGGGCTAAGTGAGCTTCTGACTTCCCTGCATGCCACCCTGTTGTGGGAAATGGTGCCGTGACCTTCGAGAATGGAGTCCCAGTGGGTGCCGGGCCAGGGCACTGTTTGGAAGACTAGGATTCTGGACCATTCAGCTTGAGCTGAGCTGACCCAGGGATGCTTTATTAGCATTCATCTGGGCCTCCATGAATTCAAGTGAGGAGGGAGAACAAAGGACTACTTGACCAAGGGAGTCAATACAGTGAAAATAATTTGGATACAGAAAAAAATATCAGATTTAAAATAACAATTCTGATCAAATGTGTTTCTCATTGGTTGAGAAAAAACACAATGTGATATTGCATTTTCAGTGTCTGTAAAAGCCAAGAAAACTGACATGTTTTCCATTGCTAAAAAAATAACACTTCTAGGGTTCCCATTAGTATCAGAAAGGCCAAATTTATATGTTTTAAATACTCAGATGTCTATACTTGGAAATATATTTCTGTATCTTGTTTTGGGAAAGGTCTATTTTTGTTTGTTTTTATATTCTATGAAATCATTTTGAAGTACAGTAGCAAATTAGCAGCAACTAGGTCTTCAACCGTAATGTTTGTACTTTATTATTTAAATTTTTTAAATACTGTCGTGTTTATTTTTGTTTAACCTCTCAAGCAAAGATGCTAGTGCAGACAATCTGGTTTCTTCCCTTTCATGTTCTCATTGGCACGCCATTGGCATAACCCATGTCATTTGATGCCTCATGATTTATCTGTCTCACTCACCACCCATCCTGTCTGTGCAGTGAGCTTCTTATGCTGCCCAGAGCAAAACGAGGACGAAGTGCAGAATGCCTGCATACTACCAGGTAAATACAGGGATTTGGTGATGGTGACTGTGTGTGATGACTCTTTTTCCATCCTACTATTCTCCGTCTCTCCCTTAGTGGTATTAGTGCAAAAAGGTAAAATAAATTTCCCAAGCACTCGAAAATTACTTTGTTTTACATGGACACTATGATAAAGTTCCCAAATATGTTTAAATCCTAATCCAAGCAGGCTGCTTTGCCACCTGGATATTCAGAAATCCAGACTGTTGAGCCTGTCTGGAACTGTTTTCATAAAACTAAAGAACCAGTTTTTGCAGACAAAATTCTAGGTGCTCACTGTGGGCACCTTGCCCTCCCCGTGCACACACATACCTGTCTAGTCACGAGAGTTCTGCCCTTCTGTGCATGGCAGTGTTACTGTTTTCACGTCACTTTGCTGTGTTAGCTTTTTTAATTTCCTTTTGGAATCTTTGTTTATCTTCTGTTTGCTTTTATTAAAATCTTTATTAGCTCATTTTTAGTGACTGAACTTTAGCTTCATTTTTGGTAGAGTGTGGATGTTTGACCTGTTGACTCCTTAACTCCTTCCAGCCAAGAAATGTTACACTGCCAGCTTTCCTATAAAGGCACATAACAATAAGACACCTCCTGAGGGCTTAGGAGAAATCATATATACAGCAGCCTTTATATTGGAGCATAAACCTTACTGCTTTGTATTAGTCTCATTATGTCTTGAATTTCATATCCAAAGAAAAATTTCTTACAAATTACTAGTAAATTACAGTATGTTAATATTTATTGTCATTTTGAATGAAGCTAATAGATGACAAGGAAGTGGTCAGTGAAGCAAACCAACACACAAAATCTTTAAAATATTTTTGCTGGTAAAAAATAAGAGGAAAGAGAAGGAAAGTTGTCTCCGTGGAATATGTGCTTCCGTTCAATCATTAAAACATGACAGGACTAGTAAGAATTGTTTCAACTATTTATATGTCTGTGATTATCCTACTGATAACTACTGCCTTTATTTGGAGTGCCACAGGAAAAAGTGAGAAAAATCTAATTCTGCTTGACAACTAAGGAAGAAATATAAAACCATACATATAAAAATCACCTCAAATTCATGATAATATTAAGCAATCCAGGCTGTGACTAGCTGTTCTGCACAAATAGTTTTAAAATCTGAATAGTTTGCTAATTCTAGGCATTTTCTCTTATTTCTCTTGATATGGCTACACCTGGGGGGAGAAAAAAAACAGAAAAATTCACTCTTAATATTTATCAATATACCTGATCTGTGAAAAGAAAAAAGCCCAGACATTCACAAATTCTGTCTATTTATTAAGGTACCTGGTCTATGTCTGACACCCAGTGTGTGTCCACAATACTCACAGCAGTGGTCTAAGTACACTTAACTCAAGATATTTTCTTTCTTGTCCTTATCCTGAACTTATATAGGTGAACTATCAGGATGATATACTAATAATTGCATCATTTCCTACAGTCTGATTCTTAAGATTGATACTTTGCTAATAATTCTGAACTCCATATATTTTATCTGTTTAGTAGAAATGGTTTGTTGAATTCATATGTCCTCATTTAAGATAACAATCATAGTTATATATATATACAATATTAAAACAGGTGAATCTTCAGCTGAACAGATCAAGCCCTGTAACTAATGCTGTTGCAAAGAAGGATGTAGAACTAGAACTAAACAAATTGTGTAGGTCCAAAAACATGTGTCACTTATGTCTTCTCATTCCCCTTCTTTCTTGATATTTTTACAGTAGCAATAAATATTTCACTTAATTGATTCCTAAACAACTGCTAATTGTATTTTTATTACAACTATAATTGTATCAACTATCATTTAATTTTTGAATTTTCAAAAACTCCCTTATCATTCTGAAGTGCATAATGCTAAAACTAAGGAGATAGAGAAAACATGAATTTAACTGTATTGTGTTTCTCTCTGTATATATGTAACCTCTGCTGTGTTTGTACCTATGTTTTAATAAAAGCATTTAACCTGTGTTTTAATAAAATATATACTAAAATATGTGGACATAAATGACCCACAGATTTTTAGAATATCAATAATGTAGTTTGATTTCATATACAGTGGTACCTCAGTTTACAAATGCCATTGCTTGGGAACAACTTGTTTTGCAAACAAAAGCATTTGACCAAATTTTGTTTTTGTTTGCAAACTACATCGGATGAAAAACATGACCACGGCCGTCTTTCTTCACAAATACAAATGTGGCCGTCTTTTCGAAAATCATGGAACAAATTAAGTTCATAAACTGAGGTACCACTGTATAGTATAGTAATTTATTATTAATATAACCTTTTATGAATGAAATCTTAGAGCTTTCAAAAAAGTATCATATCATATTCTTTTAAACATAAAATCTGAGGATTTACCACCCTCCAATAAACATGAGGAAAATTTCATTTATTAAGTACCAAACACAGTGTTAAGGATTTAATATACTTTATCTCAAGTTCCTGATAGTAATTGTATGATGGGAATATTATCTCATTTTAAAGATGAGAAAATGGTAAGAAAGTTTTTTTAAAGAGTTTAATTTGATAAATAATAGCAAGGGCTCCAAATCATATTTACTTAAATTTTCCAGTTAACTAGTTTTTTAAAGAATATAACAATTGGTCCTTTTTGTAATAGTCCACCAATAAAAGAGTCTGTGACTCAAGTAAGTTTTTGAAACTCTGTAAATTCAGTCCCTCTCTGGGTATTTATGGTGTGTAGCATATTAAAGTCGTGTACCAAAGATATCCTACTCATTGTTAATGCATTACCCTTGAATTATTTACCATAGAATACTGTCTAAAACATATCTCAGGACGTGGTGTATAGAAAATGCCCTGGATACATTTTTCTGTGTATTATTTCATTTAATCCCCACAGTACCCCTGTTAAGTAAAAGTTATTTCCTCATTTTATAGATGTAGAACTAAGATGAGGGTCTTGACTTGAATTTTTCAGTGGCAAACCCAAGATGTTTGTACTCATGTACTTATTAACCTATTTTGGAATGTTCTGGAAAAATCACTTTTGCAGCAATTGCTTAGAAATGTCTTATACCAAGCCTTCACTAATAACAGTTACCCAAGGCTGGAGGTTTAAGACTGTAAAGCAGTTTGAATCCTTAGTTTCAATAAAATTTTTCCTCAATTAGTGCTTGAAATAGCTACTCTAGAATACTTTACATCTAAAGCTTTGAAAGATTTCCCTTGATTTGACCATTATCATACTTATGATTAAACAGGCAGGTTGTTTGATATTCAGTATATTCTTGAGAAATGTCTATTCCTTTCCTTCATCATGCTGTAATGTAAACTAAAATGGAGATGGGCTTTTATAATCAGCAATTATCTTTGTAGACATTATGAGACTATAAAAAAATTAACTGATTGTCTACATCCAGTTTTCCCCTGACAACGTGGGCAGTCCAGAAGCCCTGGTAGATTTTAAAGCAGCTCAGACAAAGTTGCCTTGTTTCTGCCATCTTATGACAATTCAGAATTCACATTCTGGTTTCCATGTAATGCCCGTCTCATCCAGCTTACAGTGGTAAATTTTACCCATGGTTGGACGTGAATCCAGAAGCTGACAAACAGAAAGAACTTGCTCCTTGCCAATTGGCTTTTGGAACCTTTTGCTCTTTTCTTTCTTTACAGCACTCCAGGTTCATGACCACTCGTTTTCTTGTAATGCTGATTAGCTCTTTGCTTGTTTTTAGAGCATTAGCTTCCTTTAGACATATTTAATTCTCAAATTATGTAAAGCATTTGATTTGTACTTTTAGCAATGAGTCGTTTACCTCCATAAAAGAAGCATAATATTAAATAAGGTGTTAAATAGTAAATTTAAATATTGGTCAATAATAAATTCATAGAATTCAGTCAGCAGATATTTTTCTATTTAATGCAATTATATTATAATTTTGAGCATTTATTATGAAGTCAGATATATATGATTTAATATTTTATTCTAATGTTACATTCAGATAATTATAGTTTTCTGAAAAAATAAAAACCCAAGGGTCCATCAACCTAGCTTTATAGAACTCCTACTTTCTTAATATCTGAATAAAATTTGCCTCCTATACATTTTTCTGTTTCCTATATGTTTGTGTTGCCACATTCAAGACATCTTTTTCGGTACTATAAATCATTACCACCCAAGATGCCTTTATTGCAGAATGGCTCTCACTGGAATATTTACAGTTAAGAGCTGTGGTAGTAAAATTTAGTTAGAGACTAATCTCTAATCCCTTCCCCTAATAAAAATAGAAGACTCGCATTCTTATAACACATTAGTATCCTTCAAAATTATACAGTGGGAAACCCTAAATTACTGATATTTAAAAATTGTTTAAATTATAAAACTTAATTGTACAGTAATTCTTAAATGAAACCTACTAACTCAAATGTTAGAATTCCAGTTGTTTTCTTTGTCATTTATTTCTTGTCTTACTTGTTGATATTATAATTTTTTTTTATTTGTGTATACTTTTCATTTGCGAAGCTCACTTCTGCCTGCACATACAGAGAACAGATCAGTGACTAGACAGGACATTACCCTTCGTCATGAATGCTTTCACACAAGAGCACTAAGATTTACTGATCAAATGTTGGTTAGGTAAGACCGTCTCGAAGTGGCATCTTCCACCACCCTTGTCTAGTGTCGTGAACCAAAAGGTCGAGCTGTGAAATTATTTCTCCTCTGATGTCCTTCATTTTGTTTTGGTGTGGCATCTGTTCTTGATAATGAAGTTTTAGGCATTTTGTTTTAGTGCTTCCTGTATCCAGTTTTTTCATAAGTAGGTGTGATTTAGTGTCATATTTCAGTCCGAGATCCTTTTTCTAAAAATTATGCAAACCAATCTAAGCATAATCTTTGTTTAGTTTCATTTTCTAAACAAAATTTTGCACTACCATCTCTCAGCTCTCTCACACCCTTATGAACTGAATCACAGTGACTCTGCATTTTGTGTAAAGAGGACATTATTTTATGCTTTACTCTCTAACATGGTCTTCCTTTCTGTTTCCTCTGTCTTTCTCTTCTACCATGGATGCAATGCACTGGCACTAGTGAACTACAGCCCTCCCTTGACAGGGCTCGGAGTGCTAGTACCAACTGCTTGAGACCAGATACTAGTTTGCATTCACCAGAACGAGAAAGGTATAAAATAAAGACTTTCTTAATTTCCTATCATTTGTACTAGTAATTTTTTTCAATCATTTTGTTTTGTTTCATGTGAGTCTCCCAGGTTTATTCATTCATGTTCACTTGGCTGATTGTCTACATACACCCCTGTTACACATGCCTCTGTAGAGATATGTGGATGTGGATGTGCCCAAGCGCCCCCACACACATATTTCTATGAATGTTGTTGCAAATGGTGTGAAGTACTTTGTATTTGCTTCAGGCTGCTGCTTTTTCCCTTTTGTTGCTATTCAGCCCTTTTATTTTCATACTACTCAGTGAACCTTCAGTATGCTGATGATGTTACAAGGCTAGGAAGGTACTGAAAGAGAAGGGTCATCTTCCTATTAGAAATGTGAGAAGCTTCCATAAATTCAAAAGAGGAATTCTGTTTAGATGAAATATTTTTCTTATGCACCTATATTCACTTTTTATTCAACATACTCCTTGATATATGTTATAGTTTGCATTAAGTTAGATTTTGAATAAATAATTCTGATTTTACTCAGATGCATTCATTTATTATGTCTTCTAATCTTAAGCACCTAATTTTTCTGTGGTGAGGGTACTTTTGTTTGAGCAAACTTAATTCTAATTGATAGCCTTGGTTATAATTGATATCTTTTTTTGGTTTGAAGTCATTGAGAGGAAATTTGCCTACTACTTCTTTACAAATCCCAAAGAAAAAATGTATAGTTATAGTACTGTAAGTTACTTCAAAGGCTACATGAAGCTTTTGCTTTTTAGCAATCTTTCTAGCGATGAGATGTTTATTTCTGGACTTGTACAATAGATACAAGCACCATACCTATTTTTAAGGCCTTCATAAGATTCTACTAAAAATTCACATTTTAATTTTGTGTTTCTGTATTTGTAAAATTTATAACAGAAAAAATAAAATTAAATTTGAATTCCTTATATTTGTCATAGACATTTTAGTTGAAATAATTATGGACTCTTCTAAAATCATAGTTGAAATAGTTTTACTGTTCTGTTTTATCATATATTTATTAATTCCCAATCATTATAAGAATAGTATTAAGAAAGATTTTTAGCATTTATTATTATTATTTATGTTTCTCATTAGTACTAAAACAAGTATAGAATTGCTCAATCTGTGAGTCTTCTTACTCTAATATCACCCTAACATTTTTGGGGAGGGGGGGTTACCGGGGATTGTACTCAGGTCCTTGTGCTTGCAAGGCAGGCGGCAGAACCACTGAGCTAAATCCCTGGCCACCCTAACATTTTTAACGTCATCTAGATCAGCGCTGTGTGACAGAAATAAAATGAAGCCACATGTATACTTTTAAGTTTTCTAGTAACCATGTTAAAAAGTTGAAATTAGTTTTAATACTTGATTCTAGAATATCAAAATATTATCATTTTAAAATGTCAGTTTTTCGTAGTGAACCATACTGAGTATATTTTATGATCACAGAAAGTTTTACTTTGGAGTAGCCACATTCTTAAGACTAGTGCATTGGACAGCACAGGTCTGTCCTTGTGGTGAAACTTAACTGGCATTAAAGCTGCAGAACTTAGAAATCTCTGTGTTGGTGAATTTAATCTCTCAAATAATCACCTTAAAATAGGCCAACCTATAAAGTAAGCTACTCACAATTACTGTACAGGTTATCACAAAGTCCAAGTGAGTGGACTTATCCTTAATTTAATTATAAAAACTGGATTAAAAACCTGATTACTCTATATATTGAATTAAAAGAAAACTTCCCTTAAAAATATCAAGGCAACGAGGATTGGTATTATTGATGACCTGTAATTTATTGAGGTCACTTTGTTGCCAAGAAGAAAACAGTGTAAGATAAATTTTCATCAAGTAAATTATGCAAGTTGTACATGTTAACTGGTTTTGAAGACAGACTTTGAATACCCCTTTATGCGTGCACCTATGGGCAGCTCTGAAGCAGTATTAAAAATGGTGACTGTCTCTCTTTGAAGAATATATCTGAGGCCCCAGGCAAGATATGCAGAGTAGGAAAAGGGAAGGGTAGAGACTTTTCCAGCACTTGTTCTCTCTGGTTGACCATAAGGTTTATTATATTCATGCCTAATATAGTACATAGGACATACAATGTTAAAGAAAAATTTAATTTCATATTCTGAGGATAATAACATTATTTTAACAGGTTTGTGAAATATTAAGTCATAAGATTTAATGATTCTGACTTATTTTGATTAACATTTCTATGTTGTTATACCAATTTAGTGCCATTTTTTGAAGTGTGCTCATTAATTTTTTACTGGGACAAGTTTTTATGTTAATCCAGAGCGTAGCATTGTCAAAAAACACTCCATACCCCACACCATACTTTACTGACTATTCAGAAGGTAAGGGGGTGAAATTCTTTTCCCAGAGGAGTTGGAAACCATCAGATCCACCTCTTCTCTCTTATGAGATATTTCTGCACAGGTTAGCAGAGTAGTTTTAAATCACATGGATTCAACCCTGTTTGGAAAGAAGTTGGTTCAGGTGAAGACCTGCTTCATTTTATATTCTGTTGACTACCTAAGTAGAAAAAAAAAGTATTCACAGATTACCATAATGTAGTGACCTACCCAATTCTGTCATGCCTCATAACCCAAGAATTTAGGAGTTTATCATAAATGATAATTTCTCAATAATATCCATTCCCTTATTTCTCTGATTAGGAGGAATCTACATACCTGGTATTAACTTTTCCTTTTCTAGGCTGTTTTTTACTTTTGTGGTGCTGGGATTTGGTCCCAGGGCCTCACACAGGTTAGGCAAGTGCTCTACTGTGGAACTACATCCCCAGTCCTATTGAAAAATTTTATTTTGAAACAGGGTCTCACTAAGTTGACCAGGCTGGCCTCCTGCCACGCTCTTGCTGATCCTCCTGCTTGAGCTTCCTTAATTTCTAGGATTACAGATGTGCACCATCATGGCTGGCTTTTTCCAGATTTTAAAACAAATTGTTGCTCAAATAATTGACTGATTTTTTTAAAGCCACAGGAGAATACTTTCCTTCAATGTTTTGTATTCTCCCATGACCTTTCATAGCAATCATAGCCTTAATGAAAACTATTGAAAGGACAGTCTGTACTTACTGCCTCTATTTTTTTCCCAACCCTCAGTAAATCCTGCAGTCCGACTTCTACTTCTTGTTATATTATTGGTATCATAAAATTCCTCTATGGATTGCATTGGTTCCCTGAATGTTCATTTACCTTTAAATTATATTTCTATCATAGGTTCCACTTTAATTCGTATGAAGCTAAATCTCCACTGTGATTGGCCAGATCAAACTTTCTTTCCCAAGTAAACGGCCCAAGTTCCTAAATTGTTGCCAGATATTGAATATGTGAAAATGTCCAATTAAATTTCACGATCTCTTCTTCAATCCCTTTATAGCAAAAGGCTTTCTCTCCCTACATTTTTCTCATTTAATGGCTTTGACATACAACTAGCCACATAATCCAAAAACACTTCTCCTCCTGCTTCAAATTCAGTGAGTTAATGAATCCTATCAGTTTCTGCAAAACAGATCCCTCACTTTGATTATTGCCCTGCTTCAGTTCCAGTGTCACTCCTGTCCAGTTGAATATTTTTATTAACTCAAGAAGTAGCCTTTATTACTTTATATGTATCTCAAATTTTCTTTCCATTAAAATTAAAATATCTTTATTCCTTTGTAGCCTATGAGACTTATGAATTCTAATTCTTTTATGTCTCATCAGTGGGTTCCCTCACTGTTAAAAATCAAACTTCTTAAAAATTGTACTTATTCTTTAAAAATTCTGGTCAAATACCCTATCACTTATTTATAACATCTTTCTCCCTACCACCTCCATTCCTTTTGTCTTTTGCCAATGAGAATCCTATTTTTCTTTTCTAGGTTGCACATAATTTTATATTCTTCTGTTAATACAGATTTTATTTTAGTTAGTGTGTTTGTTTCTTGCAGTATATTGTAAACCTACCAAAGGCAGGCATTTTATCATATCTGTGTTTTTATCTCTGATGACAGCAGTATCCACTTAGTAAATGTTTAATTTGGGATATGAGAAACTTAAAAACACCCTTTCTTTTCTACCACCGAATTTGGATCTAATGATGAGCTAGAGCCAGGCACTAGAAAGGTGGGAGATAATTGTCACCATAAATACTGTGAACAAGTTTCGAATCTGTGGCTTTGGGTCTGCAGTCTTGCTAATAACCAACCCCCAGATTAACCAGTTCACTGAAGCACAAGATGCTTCCAACACAAGGTCAGGCCTCACCTCTCAAGGATGCTTTTCAGGTTTGTGTGCTGTGGTATTTGCTTTTACTAGACAGCTTGATTTGAAAGAAAAATCCAGAATGGGCCAAGCCATCTCTGCCTGATTTTTTATCACAAATTCATCTGTTATCACATGAGCCACTCCTCCTCGCTTGTGGTGCAGTGAAGGGAAGTGTTACTTGAATGAGTTTCCTTCCAAATGGAAACATTTACTCATGGGAAAGGAAGTTCCTACCTAAAAGTCAAATATAAATTGACCTGAAATGAATGATATAAATTTTGTTTCAAAGTATATACATCACTATTAATTAAAATAAGTGAAACTCAGTTTAAAACAATATTGAGAGAAATGTTTATGAAGGATTAATATGAGTAAAGAGAATATACCAAAATATATACATGCATAATCAGTTATATCATTTAGTTTGGCTTTGTTATAATACCTCATAAATATTTTGAGTCATGATATTTATGGAATGAATGACTTTCATATAATTTCTCTTTTAGATAATTAAACCATTAGCCATGTACTGCCGAGAGATATTCACCAATAAAAGATGTGTGCATATGCAGATACTGATTATATATCTAACACCAATGTTTTCTTTAAGGTTTATCAGTGTTAAAGAGGAAAGCCACAGTATAAGTCACTGAATTGATTACAGAGACTTGTGAATTCTATTTCTTTTATATCTCATCAGTGAGCTCCCTCACTGTTACTTTCATATTTTAGATTCTCATTATTTCTTAACTAGATTCCCACAAAGCCTAAAGAATTCTCTGCTATTTACTTAAGTATTTTCAAATATTTATTCAACAAGTAGATGTTCCTAATATTAATGCATTTAGAATACCTGATATTAAAGTCCTAAAAGTTTACTAAGAATGTAACTAATGTAACTTATAGGTAGTCTGGTTTGAAAAAGAAATCAAGAAAGGACTAATTTAGTTCAATTTCATGATTAACTGATAAACTGACACGATACCTTATAATATGAAAATAGAAGTTGAGGTGGAAACATTTTCTATTTCTTAGTAACTGGAGGGGAGAGGGAAGAGGGAGAGAAAGATCCTCCTTCTGTATAATAGGAGAAAGAGTTGCACACATTTTAAGAGTATAAAAATAACACTGGTATATTTTATATTCACTAGTATGTTATGTAAAAGCTTAAGTGATATCAATTTTAGGTCAAAAATAGTGTATAAATTGATCCTGCTCTCATTAATTTTATGAAGGAAAAATGTATTTCTTATTTGATACTTCATATCAGCATATTCAGAAGGACTTGAGTATAAAAATGTACATGTATAATGCTAAATATTTGTTCAAACATTACCTTTTAATAGTTTGCATTCACAATTGCTTGTTTCTAAATGTATACCTTTCTCCTTCATAGCTTTCACTGCATGTTTCATAATTATAGCTTTTTTCTTTAATTTTTTTTCTTTATTTCTATGTTTGAATAAATACAAGGACTGGAATTTAGCCTCAGGAAGCAAGGTTACTAATAATCCTGTCAAAATTACTTCATGAAAAGAATTAAATCTACTTTTATGTTTTCAAATAATTTCAGAAGTTTTAACTTATCTGAGTATAACTTTTGGAGAAAATACTTTAGTTGTTACTGTATTTCAGTTATCTTAGAAATATTTTATTGGATCCATGGAACAAAGCCATTAAGTTGAAAAGAAACATATTCAAATTTTCACACTGGATCAACTAATTATTTAAATACTTAAAATAATTAATTTAAAATTAATGGCTCATGTTTGTAATTTAACAAACACATTTAAGAGTCTGTGCCATATAATCTTGTCTTTTGCTCCAGTTCTGTTATTGAATACCTTCTCCTGCTTCATGTCTTTCTGAAAGCCCAGTCTGAATTATTGTAAGTTTTAACCCTGATAGATAAAAGCTTCCAAGGGTGTCACAAGTTAATACTTGCTGAGCAGAGACAACCTGTCCCATATTGACAGCCTCGTTCTGCTTTGTCTAGATGATTGAATAAATCCAGTCAGCCAAGGTATCATGGCCAAAAAATATGACTTACAATTTGAAATATTAGGACTAGACCCTTTGTGTACTTATAATTTTTTAACCTAAATAAGCTCCTTGTTGCATATAAAAAAGACAATATTGCCGGGGATTTATCTCAGTGGTTTCCTAGCCTGCTGCTCAAGTGCAAGGACCCGAGTTCAATCCCTGGTACAAAAAAAAAAAAAAAAAGACAGTATTTATAGAGCTTATCCTGCTAAGATGTTCACATCTAAAATATAAAAATTTCTAAGCCTGGCCTGCTCAGTCCCCAGTTTTCAGCCATATGTTTGTAACTTCTCAAGATAGTTTAATGAAAGAATGAACCAAGTTTCAAACTTTGTTCAGCTGTTAGTTGCAAAAAAGTATTGTTGCAAGTACTGAAACAGAACTTGACCCATTTAACCAATTGAGAGACACTTTTGCCTATGAAGATTGGCAGAACTTTTTAAGCAGAATGCTAACTTGCCATTTCTTGTGTCTCTATTCTCTAATTTAATTCACTGACAAGAAATTGTCCCCGCAATTTCCAATAAGAAAACTTGTTAATACTTCACTGGTAGCCCTCCCCAAAATGATTCTTCATGTTATTATTTCCACTCCAAGGAGCATTTTTATTTCTTCCATGTGACAGTGTTCCTGCTTTGCATTCAATTCTCACCCTCACCTCACCCCCAGGAGTTTTAAAGCCTGATAGTAGATAAACTCTGGTGGTTTCTTAAACTTATTTTATTTAAGGGTAAGTGAGATTTATAAGGGTGCATCTTCATTATTTAGATATATTAATATTTATGTGTTCATATAGATATGTATACCCTCAGGCACTTTTTAAAAGACAAACTGATTAATACCTAATAGATTAAAAACATCCTCCCACATAATTTTTTTCTGTCTACTTGTGAGTTTACAGATTTTATTTCCTTACTGTATGACTTATCTTTCTATGCTTGTGAGATAAAGATTAAATTTTAGAGCAAAGAATTAACACTTTGGCTTCCGGGGGCATTATTCCAGTCCTATTGTTCCATATAGTCTTTTATTTTAGGAGTTACTAAATGTCCTGTTTTTTCCTGTCTTGTTCACTGGGCAAACAGGGGTAGATGGTCCCCCTCCCTAGATAGGAGACGACCTCCTAGCCCCAGGATTCAAATCCAGCATGCATCTCCGGAGAATGACAGGTACTAGTCACTTCCTCTCAGACAAGTGGCTTCTAGAAGCCGGTAGGCCACCTGGTGAAGGATAATCAAGAGAAAGGTTGGTTATGACATGCTTCCTGTCAGGAGCCCGAGCCAGATGCGCCGTGACTCCGTCACCAATCACACCCAGCTCTCCAAATTACCTCAGAATATTTACTGAGAGGGAAGCAGCATAGGAAATTCTAGAGTTGGGATTCTGTCAAAGAGTCCTGTTTGGTACACACTTATTTCAGTGCTTTGAATTTCTAGAAACATATTCATGTATTATTTTTGTTTACAGGTGAATAAATAAAAATTCTCAGGTGCTTTAGAGCATATTAACATCTATCACAGTGCCTATTCTTGGTTATACTGTATTTTTTGATGGTTTAATCTCAGTTGTTGTGTTTTGTTACTATGTAAGCTTATCAGTGATGCAGTTTAGGCATTGCAGTATGAAAAATGCGGGGTATAAAGTAGGATATGTGGTTCTTCTTTGCGTATGCTTTATGTGTATTGAGACTGGAAGCTAAACATTGTCAAGTGTTGGGGTCAGTCTACAAGGTAGGTGTTTAAAAACAGCATCAGTGCTTTGAAACCACTTCATGATGATCTGTAAAAAGTGCCACAATATATACTCTCTATTGCTTATTATTCTTTTCATTTTGTATTTAAATTCAATTATCCTGTTATATGCTGTGTTATATATTGTTTTTATCTTTATATTTATTCTTGACTGGTCACAAAAGGGTTTTGGTTATCTAAAATGCTTTTTCTCAACAGAAATTCAATAAAAACATTAGTAGTATTCATTAAGTAAGTAGAAGTGGTTCCTCTATAATAGAATAGCTAGTTATGTGAAAGCTAGTTACATGAGTATGCAGGTTCTTTGTTAAGTAGGTGTGTATATACCAGAATAATTATGATCTTGGTGAAGATTACATAATTTATTTTCTGTACTTGTACACGATCAAGATTTCAAATTTATAGAAAAACTAAACACTGTCACTAAGAAAAATTTAATGTGATTTTACAAATGTTGGGAAAGAAAATTAGCTATGGTCTTTTATATTTATAAAATAATAAACATACATTTTACATAATTTATAGTATGTAAAAGTTTTAACGTATTTTATTATGCTTTAATTTCTAAAATATTTACTTCTTAATAGATTTATATTTCTATATTTCAAATTTAAAATTAATTCCCTCTGCTACTAATTCTTAGGTTAGAATTCATGGGACTAGAAGAATTAGTAAAGTCTCATATCCAAAAATTATAATAAGTGTAAAATAAGTTTCAGTAAGTATATAGCATAATTGTTAAATAAACTTTGAAGCTCTACATTGCTGGTCATTCACCCAATAAATAATTTTTGTACCCCTACTATGTACACCATTTAAAAGGCTAATGTCAAATTCTTGTCCATGAAAGAACTTAGAATTTCCCTTTAGAAAAGATAATTCTAGAATGTCTTTGGATTTATTTTGAAACAAATAAAGCAAAGATTTGATTGAATGTATGATTGATTAGAAGACTGTCTTTTTAATGAATACAAATGTAAATTTATCTGTGCACTAGGTAAGCCAAACCAAATAATAGATTCAGCTCTTATATACATAAGAATAAGATGCCATTAGTTTCATTTCATACCATATGAATTATGTTGAATCCTTAGTTTTGCCACACACACACACACACACACACCTACAAAGATTTTAGAAGCAGAAGTGATTTTTTTTTTAGGATGAGATTATTAAGGGAAACATTACATACTATTTTTGGGATATATCTTCAACTTTTGTGTAATAATTTATTTGTAAACAAGTTAACCAATAGAAATACATTCAAATGACTTAGATACTGTGATTTATTATTGTGAAAATAGGGAAAAGTGATAAGAATACGTGACCATAAAAATGAGAAATTACTGTAAGTTAATGCTAAATTTCTAAGTAGCCATGACAATCACTTAACAAAACTTAATAAACACTTGCCTGTCACCTCCCCTCAGCTTTGTTTACTCACTTAGATATTCCTCCCAGTTTCCAAATGAAATGAACATGGGATGAAAGTGGGAATAGTGAATATCTACAAGGACTTTGGAATTAGATTGACAATTTATACAGTCATTGTTGTATTTATTTTGAAAATAATATTGAAAAACATAAAGTAAGTCTTGCTTAGGACACCAAGTTAAGTAAAACATATTTAGTTGCTTTATTTCCCACAGTGTTAAATATGTACACAGAATGTGCACACAAGTTTTAAGAATGTATCTAACTTAATTTAATTTTCATGTTAAGTACTCTTGATGCTATATCAAATGGTACTGTACATTTATTTTGAATTAGCATAGAGGTAGGTTTATCTAGATATAAGAATATTTTTGGAAGTCTTAGGATTTTTAAAACAATGCTGAAAAGTACATTTATATTGATCCCTCAGGAAAGTTTCTTTAAAATTATGAAAATTTTCATGTAGTTTTATTATTAACAGTGGTAAAACTTTTAAAAATCATCACTCCAACAACAAAATTTCCTTTGCAAGTGGAATTATTTTAATATATAAAAGTAACTTTTATGAGCCTGTGTGCATGTAATTCTATGAATCTTAATAAAACTTGCATCTATTTGTGACTTGAAATTAACCAAAATTTACAAGTAGGCATTCTGAAGATAAATGTATTTGAGTTTGCCATTGAATAATCAAGGGATTGAGTTTGGTGCTTACAGTTAATAATTCATGTGTAAGTATGAAAAACTTTTAAATTACTATTATTATCTAATTCAACTTTGAACTATTTTTATTAATACTTTGTTCAAAAATGTAGTATTTACACTGGACACATTTTGAATTATATTTTCATATGTGACATTACAAACTCTAACATTTTGACTGAGAATAGTTTTGCATCAATATACACGATATATTTAAGAGTGCCATTTGGTAGCATAACTCAGATGTTGAAAATATTTGAAAAAAATTTCTGGACTTTATCCAAGTACGTGAAACATCCACAGGTCTTAAGAGTAATTCTTCAGTGTTTCCGTTAAAGTAGTTCTATTTTCTTGGGAAATAACCAAATTTGTGTAGTTTTCCATAGTTCTTAGTTGGTAGCATCTACTTGCCTGTAAAAATTTTAACCAAGAGGAAGTAGTTTCTTTTGATATAAAATGAATTAACCTGATTTCTTCATTGAAAATATTTATGCAAAAACAAAACCACCCACTTTTTCACTCACAGAATTCATAGCAGTCGCCATACACATGCATCCTTTGTGTATAGCCACTTACATGTTAAACAACAGACTTTATTATTGTGCTTTTCGAAAATGCCTTATTTGAATGAATTAATGAAAGTTACCCACATACTTAAATACCTAGTGAATCTGTTTAATGGTTATAGCAATATATACAAATATCAATAATATAGAGGAAGGTGTTTCATATTTCATCTCTTTCGTCACTGCATATGACCACTTTTTATTAGATTGATTCTATTTAAATTTATTTTTCCCTTCCCAGACATATGAGATAATAACATGGCAAATTCTTGTATTCTACATTAGGACAATATAAACCATCTAAGTAGTCATCCAGCACACACAGAGATATATTCTTCTATCAGTGTTCTAATTCAATGAAGTCACTGTGTGCTGGATTTTTATTACATTTTTCCTAATGCAGAATGTACTATACTTTCATTTGTTAAAACAATCTTAAATAATTTTACTATGTTCACATATTAGTTTTATAATTTAATGGAATTGTCTTCAGAAAAGCTTTAATTATCAAGATCTTCAGGGAATTGCATTGACACTACTTACTGAAGAGAAAAAGAAAGTAGCACAGAAATACATTTTAGTAATTATCTCTTTTGATTAGTACATTTAAAAAGTGTTCATACTTAAATTAATAGAGAGAATGGTATTTTATAGTGGAACTTCAAAAGAATTTAGGTGTAATTAGAAATATCCTCAGTTTTCTGATTGTTACTCTTGTTTCAATGTAATAGTGTCTACCACGTTAGATAAGTCACATAAATTTTTCTGGGATGCAGTTTCCTTATCTGTAAATTTTATAGATGGACCACCTGAATTCTAACATCTCTTAAGACTCTATAACTGAGTGTGTGCTGGCTTGTTGCATGCTGATAAGCTATAATGAGACCGATAGTGACTGACAATTTATTGTGTATAAAGCAAGAAATGGAAAGAACATAAGTGTCCATCAACTGATAAAATGGATTAAAAATTGTGGTGTTCCATATACACAATGGAATAATATTCAGCCATAGGGAAATAAAATTTTGTCATTTGTGACAATATTTTTAACTACCCAGCAGATTCTTACTGAGCACGTTTTGAACTACTGTGCCCTAAATGTGGAACTCACAATGATAACCCAAATAAACACAGTTCCAGACAAGTAAATTAGGAAGGGCACTGCAAGCCACAAGGAGTTCATTTCACTGTGATCAATTTTGTGATTATATGAGGAATAATTTTGATAGTATAGTATATAAATATAGATTGTTGTAAACTTTTTAAAACATATCTTGAACATCTATTTAATCCAAGGGATAGTTGTGTTTAAAACGTACAGTGTATTCATAGCTGTGGTTTAGGATTTAGAGTAGATAAAATATTAGAATTTTCTGATTTATTTTTTCTTTACTCTGAATTATGACAATCAACTGTATATTATTTTAGCTCTATTTGAGGATTCTTTGAAGTCATTGGGACACATATACTTTGTAGGAATCTTTAGAAGAATCTATAATGAAACTATGTTTTAATGGCATTTGAAGAGAAAAAAGTGTCCTTAACTACAAGTTTCGAAACAAAAATAAAGAGGGTAGATGTGTGAAACTCTGTGTGGATATTTATCATTCAGTATTTATCATTCAGTATCATGTGGCGTTAACTATGAGTTTCATATTCTTATTGATGGCTAAGAGTCTTTGCATTTGAGAAAATATACATACTATCATTTAAAAC